CATTGGATGGTTTGTCCACAGAATGTATTGACCATCCATCATAAAAATTACAATAACATGAAAACATTTAAAAATTTGGTTGAAGTAACTACAGATCTCCATAAAGTCCAAACAAATTCATAATGGGAAAAGTAATTCTTTCGAATTATAGTAACTTCAGGCATGTTATAGATCAAAATTATTGTCTTAAAGTGAGCTTGGAAAGCAAATTGCAAGCCCTATAGGTATTTCAAATATCTCTAGATATTTGCCCTTTTTGGAGACGTACAGGATATGAGTGTGGTTCTTCTCACATTTGGAAGAGGAACATTTTTGCAGTCCACAGGGCTGGATTTGTGTGTGAGTGTTGTGATTCTAATCTCACTCAAGACTCATTCTAGAGTATAGAAACTACCATTTAAGCATTTCTTTAATTAATTTGATTCTTTTAAGTGAGGCTTTCTTGAGATGTGCAGACAAACTTCTGTAATTCCCCTACCAAACATGGCTCTTGGATCTATTTGGTAGGTGTTATGGGACTTGAAATTTAAGAAAACTAGAGGGCATCTCTTTGGGAAAGTATTTTAGGCCAATACATTACTACTGTATGTATACCAGTTTCAGATATAGGTATCATGCAAATACAGATCATTGTATTCAAAAATTTAGGGATCCCTGATCAAAGTTTCAAGATATTGATCTAGAATCCCCAGACTTTGAAAATGTTTGGAAAATTGATGGGAAGATCTCCAAATACAATGCATACAAGGAAACTTAAGAATATTGCTGAACTATAAGAGTACTGCAAAGAGAAACAAATGCACATAAACACTATATACTTACAGTAAATTTGCAAAAATATGTCATGTCTAATTTTGTACTGGGTCGGTAGAAACTATATCAACTTTTGTTATTAGATATTCACTGAAACATAGAGTTTGCTCAGAGGTATTTAACCTTTTGCATACAAATCTATCTGGGAAATCTGATTAAACCATATTTTAAACACATTTAAAGATTCACTCACTTATAACACTTATATGTTTGTTACAAAAACACTAGTATTATTCTAAAGCTGTGGTCATCTGCAAATTTGCTTTCCTAATTGCTGGTCATGTTCTATAAGTTGTACAGGGTATGTTCATACTGGAATATGAATAACACGTAACATATATAAATATAATATATATAAATATGTAATGTTTCAGAACATAGAGTAAGAATGTACAGTATTGTATTCCATGTGTTTGCTTGACATTTCAGAATAATTTTTACAACACCTATAGTCTTATATTGTCTCTTCATTGTATTTCCTTACAATAGTTTTTTGTATTTGTGATTTCACATTAAATTACTAATTAAAATAGTAAAATACCACTATTATTTGAAATAACTGAGATGCCTCTTTTAATTTATTAATATAGAACAGGACATGTATGGTTTGTTCAGAATTCTAGCTACTACTTTAAATTTTAAAATGTTATTAAGCACTAGCAAAGTGGAAGAATGAATAATGTATTATCTATCGAATAGTGTATTAATGTGCAAATAGCTATTAAAAACATTCTTATTTTATTGTGGAGCTGTGCAAAATATAGGCATAATCTGTTGATGACGTCAGATTAATAAAGGCAATTTCTAAGAAGAATTTCTTATACAGTATCACAGGGGTGTCAAACTGCTGGCACGCAGGCTGGATGTGTCATCCAGAAGCCACACCCACCCTATTGCCGGCAAGGGCAAAACTGTCCCGATACGCTGTGCAATGTCACATGACGTCGCGAGTTTGACATGTCTACAGTATCAGATGGGTAATTAGGAAAAGAATCCCATCCAACTGGAGCAATATCATGTATAGAGCACAGCTTCTCTATGGGACCTTGCTCGGACCTTCAGCTTCGTGTTCCACCACTGAAAAGAGTTCAATCCAAATTTATCAGAACAATTCTCCAGATGCCGCGCTGTGTCCCAAATGCACTTTTGCGCCTGGAGACAGGATTGATAAAAGTCGAAGCAAGAATCTTTATAGCTTCCTTAAACATCTGGCTTAGGCTTAATTGTTTTCCGCAAGGCCTGGCTCTATTAATTCTTCAAGATAAATTCTCCTCTTCATGCATCAAGGCAGTCGAGTCCAACCTTGCCAAACTAGGCTTCTCCTCAGCCTCAATTCTCAAATTGGGCTACAACCAAGCAAAACAAACCTTGCGTCAAGGGGTAGAGGACATCAAGAGGCAAGCGGATTTAGGTATAGCTCTACTGTTTCTGGCTCCAGACTCTATTAGATACATGGTTACACCTGCCAGGTATCTTAGTCAGTTGGAGTCATGCACGGTGCCATTCGTTTCCATCGGCAATCCTGTACGGCAAATATAAAAAGACACCATTGTCTAAAAGACTCTGTTCCTGTGGCTCAGGAGAGGTGGAGACCATTGGACACATACTCCTTCAATGTTCCTTCTATAGAGCTATTCAGAAAAACCATATCCTCCCAATTATTGATAGGTATCCTGGTCATTCGGAAAGTATTTATCTCCAATGGCTGCTTAAGGATAAGCAGGCAGTGATCACGGCACAGGTGGCTAGATTCTGTGCAGCAGCATTGGGGATTCGCCAGAAACATAAACATTTTAGATCTTTTTAATAATCTTTTATAATTAATTTTATTACGTGTTTTATCCAGCTTTAGACTTTACTCAATGTATTTTTATTGTCAAGTCAGTATGATTCAGTTTTTCTGAAGCTAGCTAGTTTTTGTTATACTGTCTGTAAAACAGTATAACTGTTATACTGTCTGTAAAACAGCCTTGGTTACCCATTGATTACCGGTACATCATTAATTGTAATATATTGCTATGTCCTCTTGTGTTGGTTCTGTTTAGTTTTGTTTTATTTGAATGTTTAATTTATGTGTTGGCCTTTGGCTGTAATAATAAATAGATTGAGGTCATGGATTTTTTTTTTTTACAAAGCAAATATTTTCTGAAAATACATTAAATATTTCCTGATACTGCCCTTTCTGAGAACCATTGAAATAATGGATTGATATAGTCAATGTCACATTTATGCTAATGTGTATAAAGATTGAAAGTATTTTCCCCCAATAAGTATTTTAATCTATAATGAAATACATACTAAAATATTAGAGTAACATTACGTGCTAAGCCAGGATATTTTTAACTTAATTATTTACAAAGCTGAAGTCATGATAGGCAGTAGTTATTTCAAAAACATAGCAGTGAGAAGATTAGGAAGAGAATGCATAATCATGTTTTAAACCCCATATGATTTTTTTTTAAATGTGAAATTGCATAAGGGTGTGATGCAAAGAGCAGCAAAGAGGAGAATTTTTTTTAAAAAATGTTTATAATATGAAACTGAAAAAATCAGCAAGGAAGCAGAATCATAAAACCTTCACTGAATAATAAACATTTTCTAAGTTTTTAATGTTGCCTTATCCACACTATTTCTGTTCTAGTTGAAGGTATGCTATAAAATTATAAAATTCACTGGTTAGAATTAGACATAAAATATCATAGCTCTCTCTCTCTCTCTCTCTCTCTCTCTCTCTCTCTCTCTCTCTCTCTCTCTCTCTCTCTCCCTCCCTCCCTCCCTCTCCTGTTATTTGAGACAGAATTTGGGTCCTATTAATTGCACTAAAAACACATTTTGAGACAAACTTTTCAGCAAACTATAAACTCAAAAATCACTCAAACCTTCATAGTTAGAGTTGCCTGTGCTAGAATAATTTAATTGCCCTATGATTTGACCACATACTAACCTTATAAAGAAGTTAATGATTTTAGAACTAGCTAGGGAAGAAAATGGAATAATAGTGAATAATGCACTTGAAGCACAGATTCTAGTTTGTCTGCAGCAAACTAACAGATTTTTCCTTTTAGCATCTTCCTGCCAGTTCTTTAAGTTGCTGATGTATGCTTCTAATCCATCAGTGAACCTGGCAGAGTGAGATTAAATATTATTAAAAATGTTAAAAGAACGACAAAATCAATTAAATGGTATTAATAAACTTCCATAAATTTGTTTCTTGCTGAAAGTCATAAACAGTTTTTAACATTGGAAAAGAGTAAAAACATCCATAAAAGCTGGGGAAAATGGTATGCTGGGTTGCCAGTTGCTTCTAAAAACAGAGCCAGAATGAGGGTTATTTCTATGAAATGAAATTGAATTTGTCACTGAATTAATACTTCCGAGAAACTTTTCATTCAATCTCTGATTTCTGATGTGTTTTCTTCACAAATACACCATATTTATTCTTTACATTTTTAACTGTACACATAAAATATTTCAGGTGCACACCTTAAAAATGTCTTTGGGTATACTTGGGTTATTTGGTACACCCAAAATAGTTGTTATTCTGCTCTTCTGCTCTTCTATTCAGTGGTTTCTAATGCAAGCTAAGAAGCTGATGGCTCAAACTCTGTAGGCTCTACTAGATAAGCCTCAATATGATATACTTGTATTGTTCCTAGTTTCTAGGTGCTTCAGTGAATTGGTAGCACAGGCATTTTGGTCCTCCTACCAGCAGGTGTAGTGTGTTTTAAGCAGAAAAGAGGATCTTGAAAGAGGCTACAGCCGGAATAAGCAACCATGTGTTTTCTTTCATTGCAAGAAATTTATAGGAGGCTGCATGTCAGTGATGAATGAGCTTATTCAAACAGTGGACAAGACTAGAAGCAAAATGAGTTGAGTCACCTATTTGCTGTTTTTCTCATAACCAGGTTTTTTTTTCTTTCTATGCTAATTTTCTCCTTTCTTCTTCTCCTTTGCTTTTCCTTACAGAACAGTTGTGATATATTGTTCTTACGTGGATTTTTTTGCAGAAGGCTTTTGAAAAATGTTCAGGACATGTGCATCCCTATAGCCATAGACTGCCCACTTCTATCTAAATTGATACCCCTCCCAAATACTTGAGATTGCTTGTGCTAAGCATTTCAGTTGCTTATCTTTAAAATGTGTTGCTGCCCCTTAATCATGCATGTTACACCTCCATTTTTATGCAGATTGCAGTCCTACTCCTGAAGAATTCAATCCAGGTATGTATATTTTCCCCCCTCCATTCATCGTGTTTGTACTTGAAAAACTCCTGTGGGGTGTGGGGAACGATTCTTTTAATTTGATACTAACATTTTTTGCTGATTGTAAATTTTCTACTACATTGACAAAAGTCTTTGGGGATTTTAAACATTGCTTTGAGAACAAGAAAGAATATGGCTTATTTATAGCCTTTTGATAAATAGTCATTGTGTGAAAGGAAACCTTAAACAAGCCATTTATAAATGTATAAAGATGGGATGGGATGGGATTCCCTTAGATGGGAAGAAGAGACAGGAAGGGAGAGAGGGAGGGAGAGAGAGAGAGAGAGAGATGTGGTGGTTAAAGTGAGAGCCAGGTTCTGGGCCATTCTCAGCCACAGCTTCTCACTGAGTAATTGGCCTATCTCTCTTTCTCACAAAATAAACTATCAATAATAGTATCTTGAGTTCATGATCACTCTTAAGTCTAAAGTATATCTGTCTGTTTGTCTGTTTATCATGTTTGAACGCAGCTGATAGACCAGCTAATAGTCTTGGGATTCTTAGATGCCTTCAAGTGGTTTTAGTTTTTTTCTTAAAAGCCAAATATGTAAACATACAGAAGTGCCTTGCTTGTCATTGCTCTCTCTTCTCTTTTTTGACCTGTAGGTGAATGGAGTGAGGCTCTTTATCCTCTGCTAACAACACTCACAGACTGTGTGGCCATGATGAGTGACAAAGCAAAGAAAGCAATGGTCTTTCTTTTAATGCAGGACAGTGCTCCCACCATAGCTCTTTGCTTAAGCCTTCAGTACCGGAGGGATGTGGTCTTTTGCCAAACTGTAAGCAAGAACATGGAATTTATGTTTTGGACTTTGGGATCTGTGCTTGGAGGATTAACATTGAAAACAGTGATTATGCTCAAAAGGGGATTGCAATCACCTAGGGTACTTTAGTAATTTTGGAACCAGGTAACACAGTCACAGATTTCTCTTCTGCAGCGATAAACCTTTGGGATATTTAGAGTGCCCATGTGTCCTTTATTATAAAGAACAGAACTTTATAATAAGAAAGTTGTACTTTACATTTATTTTTCAAAAACTCACCTTTGTCCTTTATAGCAGTAGCAATAGAACTTAGACTTATATATTGCTCCATAGTGCTTTACAAGCACTCTCTGAGTAGTTTACAATATCAGCACATTGCCCCCAACAATCTCGGTTCTTATTTTACCTACCTCAGAAGGATAGAAGGCTGAGTCAACCTCAAGGCAATCAGGATGAAACTCCAAGCTGTGGCCAGAGTTTGCCTGCAATACTGCATTCTAACCACTGTGCCATCTCTTATTTTGCTCATTTAACTTTTTCTGTACAAATGGTATCACTTAATGCACAGTCCTTCACATTCATGTGAAAAATATGGCAATTGAATTATCTTTTTAAAATAAATTTACATATAGTGTTTAATTTGAGAAGTTTTTATTATAATATGCATCTTTGTAAAAAATTTCTTGGTTTTGCTACTGCAATATCCTTTGTAAAGCAAAGTTACAAACATAAACATTTTTTATCTTTACCAACTTCTTTCCTATTTGCCCCCTTTTCAGATTTCTCCTTTACTGTTTCCCCCAAAATATAATCACTGTAGGGATATCACATATTGACCTGCTTTTGAAACTATTCTGAAACCTTGGTGCAAGATGATTACACACAGTATTAATTGGCACCAAATATATAGAGTTTATCCAGCAAATCTTAAAATAATGGCACTGAGTTCTAATCTGCTTCCAAGCAGAACTTGAAGTGGTGGCATGGGCATTTGGGAATTGTATACCTAAAGGGTTGCTAAGCCATCTGGATTTTAGTAATTCCTCACAGACTTTACCTTGGGGTCATCCTTTTAGAAAGCTGTTAATTTAGGATTCCAGCACTGAATGGTGACATCCTGCTTATAGAATACCCTATTACTTCCTGATATTCATTTACCAATTTGGCAAAGTTATTCAAATGTTGATAGTATTTAGCTACAGTTTTCAGTAATATTAAGTATTAGGTGGAAAGCTTTTAACAGTCATTAATAGATCCGTTAAAACATAATTTAATAAAATGATGCTAACTACAAAGGTTGGATAGGGATTCGTGTTGAGTTTCAAATGGTTGCACAGGTGAATTGAATCTCCCACTTCTGAATCTCCCACAGCAGTTACAAGAAGCACTGATGGATGAACATTACAAAAAGTACAATAAAACTGATAGCATGAAAAACAATTACAGTTCTGTCTTCAGATTGCAGTGGAAGTCTAATGACCTTTATGATTCATCCATTCAGATGCAATCTGCCATATTAGAACTGGCTGAGTAAGTTTGAGAAATCTTGGCAAGTATCTTCAACTATTTTATTTTTATATTCTTTTATGCAGCTTACAGCCTTGATCTGTGGTTTCATTATCAAGCTGAGGAATTGCCTGCACGATAATGGATTCCTGAGGCAGCTGTATACCATTGGTCTGCTGGCTCAATTTGAAAGCCTTTTAAGTACTTACGGTAAAGGACATTGCATGAGGAAAACATGCAGAGTTATTAATTCTTCAAAATGTTACATTTAATTAAGTATATGTAGATAATATAGGTCTTGTTATTTAAACACAAAAAGGCTCTAGGTAGGCTTAGAATTAAACCATGAAGTACAATTAAATTTTAAATTGGTCAACAGAATCCAATGCAACTAAAAATAAAAGATGCATGCGATGATTATGGACCTGGTCCAAATTCAGAAGCTTGGTGTGTACTGATGAGTTCCTCAAGCAACAAAGAGCAATTTCAGAAGGGCTGTTCAGCAGGACGAACAAATTTTAACACTGGCTGCTTTTTAGAATGGAAAACATTCTGCTGGAGTGTACCTAAATGTTTTGATTTGTTGAAATTAATTTTATTTGGACTGTGTTAATTCAAACAATGGCAACTTTTTCTAGCTGAAAGCCTTGGCAAAATGGAGACATTAAAGTTGAAATGTCAATCCAAACTTACAAGTTATTTTGGAAATTGGATTTATTTATTTATTTATTAAATCTATATTAAATCTTTATGCCAGTGATGGCGAACCTTTTAGAGACCTGCAATCCAAAACCCACTTATTTATTTCCGGGTGCCGGGTGAGCGTGGCCACGGTGGGCGTGGCCACCTCTATGATGCTCGTGGGGAGGGACGGAGGGAAGGCGAGACAGAGAACCGGTTGTTAAATGATTTGAAACCCACCACTGGTCGCTTCCAAAGGCTGCTCACTTTCCAGCCAAAACCTGCTCCTTTTATAAGTTTCCCTCACCCCACCCAGCTCTCGCAGCTGTTCCTGGAGTCCGCATGCGTGGAGAGGGAGAGGGGAGGGGAGCAGCCCAGCCCTGCAGCCCTCTTTCTGTGGCAATGGCGCGTGTCCCGACAGAGACGGCTCTGTGTGCCACCTGTGGTACGCGTGCCATAGGTTTGCCACCATGGCTATATGCCATTGATCTCACTATCCAGAGCGATTCTAGGTGGCTTAATTTCTGCTTATGGTGCTGACATAAATTACAAGTCTCTGCAGATCTGCAGAGGAATGCCTCCATGTTAGCTATCAGTGCACTGACATCTTTATCAAAATTATTTATTAAATGTATATGCCACTCATCTCACTACATTGATGCAACTCGGGGTTCATATTAGTATGAGGATGTGATGTTGGAGCCAGAAGCATGGCTAGTTCCTGTTATACGGTAGGATTGTTATATTGCAATTAAAGTGGGAGCAGCAGACATAGCTCATCCTTATCCAGGTTCAGAAATTAAGCAGTTCAAACTAGGTTAGTGCTTGGAGAGACACTTTAGGGAAGTGACCCCCAACTTTTTGGACACCAGGGACCGGTTCGGTGGAGAGAGGTTTTTCCATGGACTGGAGGGGCCATGGTTCCATGTGCTGCCTGCATCCTGTGGATGGGGCTTCATTTGTTTGTGTGACCCGTTTTCTAGCATGCTGCAAACCGGTGCCAATCCACTGATCGGGTGTTGGGGTCTCCTGTTCTAGGGAATTCCAGAGAAAAAAGTTAACTAAGAAATTGAAAAGAAAATCCCAGACATTATCTCCTGTTTTCAAGAAAACTAAACAAACTTATTCAGAATAATTGGGGCTTCAACTTGCCTTGAAGAAGACTATTTTATAATACTTGACAATAAATGTAAACATATATTTTGTAATCATATTAATATTATCTTCATTTTTTTCATTTAGGAGAAGAACTGGCTATGCTAGAAGATATGAGTGTGGGAATAATGGACTTGAGAAATGTAACATTTAAAGTAACTCAGGCCACTTCCAGTGCATTTGCTGATATGCTGCCAGTCATTACAGGAAATCGGTAAAAAATTGGAGTGGGGATGGAGAAGAGAGGTTGGGTAAGGGAAAGATTGGGGAAATGTATTCCCTAACAGGGAACATTTTAGAACATGTGCTAATTAATAGGTTGTTTATACTAATGTGCTGCTCTTGTGCAACATGGCAAACACTAATTGACCATCTGTTTTACTTATGTAAAATAAAAATAAAAGCCACATTATCATTTTTAAAATTATGAATGAAGCTCTCAGATAAGGATTTGTAGAAGGAATAGATACAACATAGAGAACAAATGTTGTTTCTTCAGTATGCTGAGGAGGAAATGTAGTTTTCTCACACAAAATTTTAGAACTAAGATATATCTAGTCCAGCACTTCTCAACCTCAGCAACTCTAAGAGATCTACACTTCAGCTCCAAGAATTTCCCAGCCAGTATGATATTTAGCCTGTTCATTCCAATTTTGTGTTACTAGCTAACTAAGCAGAAAGAGTTGGGAAATTCATGTTATAATAATCAAAGGAGGAATAGAAATGAGTTTTCATGTAGATTTAAAGTTGGCCTGATTTGACCTTGTCTGGGCACATGTAACTATAATATTGTGGTAGTTAATATATCCACTCATTATGAGCAAAGTTCAAAGGTTGTTTATATCATTGTGCTTTTCTTGTGTAGCATGGTTTGTGAAGCTAAGACTCTTGGGCTGATATGACATTTAAGCCAGGCCTTTAGATCCTCCTATTATACTGTATTTCATTGTTTTCTGAAAACTGCCAAGAATGGAAATGCTTAGAGTGCTTAGAGTTTTGATTTTAGTTACTGTTAACAATCTCCGACATAGCAACATACCGTATGCCTTAAATATTTTTTTTAAAGTGGGCTTTCTGAAAATATTACTATTGCTTGATTAGCTTCAACTGTCTTGTCTAAATAAGGGATGGATTTAATGTGAGAATTCCACTACCAAGCACCTTGTTCGATGCCTTGCCCCGTGAAATCCAGAGTGGCATGTTGCTGAGAGTTCAACCAGTCCTCTTCAACGTGGGAATCAATGAACAGCAAACTTTAGCAGAGAAGTACATATACCTACACATTCTCTTTTCTAATTTTTCATGTTTAACAGAAGACAGATGAATTGGTTTCCTCCTCCTAGATATATATTGAATGACTTTCCAAGTGGTTATTTAAAGGGTAGCTCAGGAAGAAGTTGAATGACATGAAAGACTTTTTGGAATCAGTAGTTATATGTCTAGTGGTTACATTGATTTCTACTCTTTATGGTCTGCTGATATTATATTTAAGATTAGTTGCAGGCTTGGCCTCATGAGTTACCTTGAGGAATTTACAATATTATCCAGTAGATTATGCAGAAGTCCAAATTCAAAAGGCAATATGTGATTTGAGCATGCACGGAGACAGTGGAGGACAGGGAGGCCTGGTGTGCTGTACTCCATGGGATCGCAAGGAGTCAGGGATGACTTAGTGACTGAACAACAACAAATGGATGCCTATGTAGTGCTTATGGAGAACAAATAAGATGTCTTTTTGCCAAAATTATTTCTTAGCTGTAAAGGGCAACCATGCAACTCCAGGAAAGTCACAGCTGCTTTAAAGTGTTCCCATATATGTCCAGATTCCTTTTGTCCTTTGAATCAGAAACCCTGACGAGTCTAATACCTGGCGCTTGCCACTTTAAAGGAGCTATAGAAAAACCTAAGATAGAATCCATTGTATTGCTTTGATGGCTCTAATAAGATCATATCAAAATCTGTATTTTGATCTCCTTATGTTAAGGAAACAGTAAACAAACTATTAAATGGAGTACCTGTTCCTTTATATTATTACTAGAAATCAAGTTTTTCTTGATAAGCCTGCAGAGTCTATGCCTATGGATTTGAAATTGATTAATCTCCTTAAATACTTTTACTACTGGATTTTAGGGCAAAGTTCTCATAACACTATAGAATAACTAAACATAGAGTAATTAAAAATTAGTATCATGATAATTTTTAAAACCTATTTTAAAACTTTTGTATAAATGAGTTACCCTGTCTGTTTTATGTTTAAGGCAAGTGTTAAAATATTAATAAATGAAATGAAAAATAAAAATTGAAAGCTTGCAGATGTTCTCCCATCTTTGTTTGGAAGCTCTATTAAAATGGCCCTTTAAATTTTTAAAGGTTTGGCGATACCTCCTTGCAGGAAATTATTAACATGGAAAGCTTAGTACGGTTGAATTCCTACTTTGAGCAGTTCAAAGAAGTTTTGCCTGAAGACTGTAAGTGTGAATTACAGATGTTTGTATTCGACACAATTTAAATCAAGATCTGCTTTTATATGATGAATCTAACAAAACAATGAAAAATCAGTAGCTATGTCTCTTGAATACATTGAGGTTTCTTTAATTTCAGTTAATGTTTTCAGTTGGGTTTGGTAAAAGGGAACAGTATTAACTTCCCGTGGGACAGTCCTTACACCCTGATATTGAAGTATTTGTGTGGCCATAGACACATGTAGATGCCAAGAGTACCCAAAATACAATTCCAGTTGAAGTTGATTGATTGATATGCATCATGAACTCATTGCTTAGTGACCACATAGATACTTTCCATCACAATCTATTTTCCTAACCTGGTCTTTCAGTTTGTCCAGTGCTGCACTTATTGCCACAGTAATGGTGTCTATCTAACTGCTGATGGTCATCCTTGTCTCTTTCCTTCACCTTTCCCAGTGTTAGAGCCTTCTTCAGAAAGCTCTAATTCTTCTCTAAATACCCAGTGTAGGATAATTTGAGCCTAGTTAAGTATGCCTTGAGTGAGAACTCAGGGTTGATTTTTTTCAATGATCTATTAGTTTGTTTTCTTGGCTGCCCATGATATTCTCAGGAATCTTCAACAACACCAAATTTTAAAAGCATCTATCTTCTTCTTCTACTTTTTCATAGTCCAATTTTCACTTTTATGGAGAATACCATGGCTTGCATGATTCTGATTTTTGGAGGTCACTTTGACAGTCATGGCATTTGAATATCTTTTTCAAGTCCTTCTACTTATTGAAATAAGAAGTATAACTCTAGTTTTTGTTTAAATAGCTGGCAATCTGCTTCCCGCAATGATGGTGACATCACATTTATGAGACTAAATCAATTCTATGCTCAATTGTGGATAAGAAAAGGGATATTCATTCTGAATTTAGCAATACTGTTCAAGGAACTTCCAGTTTAGAATACAAGACTTCTCCTTTCACTATTGCTGCTTATTTTTTTACCAAAACTCTTTTTCCTATCTGCTCCCTCAAAAGAGAATGCAACCATTACAAATTAGTGCTCATGACCCTCATAGGAGGTCCCCAAAAATCTGAAGGAATCTAGTAGTACTTTTTCCAACTACACATTTTATTAAAAAGCATCAATTTTCATGCAGCTCACCGTATCAGATGCAACATATCAGTTGATGTGACGTGTAAGAATCGCTTCTGGATTCCTATTATGTATAGTCTAAGTTCTCAAAGTACAGAATATTGTGTGATCCATAGGTTTTATGTATTCTGGTTCAGATTTCCTAAGTTCTACTAAATTTCTATGGTTTTGCTAAAAACATAACTCAGCCGTCGTACTCAGTCATTTGGCAAAGAAAGACTCCTGGCCATTTGTTTTTGCCAAGAGTACATTTTACTGAAGCTTAAGTGATTATAGAAGTAAAATAAGCTGAATCTGAGGTTTTCCTGGGGAAACAATACAAAGTAAATTTTCCTCTGCCCCTCCAGCCATCTCCCCCCCCCCCATTTACTGTATCTGTAAATGTCCAATTAGGTGCTTGCATATTGTTTAGGAAACAGGTTCTCAGTTCCCAGCTATACATACCTTGGCTGGCTGAAGCTTCTCACAAAGCTCAGCTGGGCTTTCATCCTCCCCTCTTCTTCCTCTTTACATTCCAATCTTTCCAATCAATTCCCCCCCCCCCATTGTTAATGTCAGGCTGTCAGCTGAAGCTTGGATAGGAGAGATGCAGCCATGACAATAGCTATCTATTGCTAAACTTAACCTATCCATTCCCAGGTGATATGTGCAGATTGATAGTATAGAAAAGAAAATGCTCTTGGGCATTTGTTAAGTTGTGTTTATTTTTTTTCTTCAGGTCTACCTCGATCTCGGAGTCAAACGTGCCTGCCTGAACTGTTGAGGTTCCTTGGACAGAATGTACATGCAAGAAAAAATAAGAATGTTGACATTCTTTGGCAAGCTGCTGAGGTAGAATTTAAGAAAGTTAACTTAGTATGTTGTCACTTATCTCCCACGATAATGTTATGTCTTCAGAATAAGCAGCAGTGCAGAAAGCTGCAGATACCTGCATGTTCTCTGCCATTGTGCCATGTTGTTTCCTTGACCAAAAAGATGCAGAGCATTATAATAACCAGATAGGCAGAAAAATGAATAAATGTTGAAATTTGATTCTATCATGGCATGATTCCTTCCAGGATTAGCAAAATTTTAGGTTCTGGGTACTGTTGCATAAATTGAGTTTGGGCATCAGAAAATAGAATCAAATTAAAAATTGCTACAATCTTGTAAGATTTTGACCATTTTTAATATTTCCAACTCATCAGAATTCGGGAGATTATTTAAAGGGCTTCAGGATTATATCTGATTTATCTGAAAAGGAAATAGAACAGGACTAAATTTGATGTGAGGAAGAAGCCAGTAAAAACAGTTTAAGTCTAAAAATTGACTAGATAAGGTTGGGGCCTGCAGAGAAAATTACCCCAGTCTGTCCCAATGGGAAACTCAGTTGGGCAAAGCCTTGGAATGCCGGTGACAGCTTCATCTAAGACCCTCCCTCCTGGTCATATGAACCACTATGGAATTTATGCAGCTTGCTCTGTACTTTGCATTGCCTACATATACACAAACCACATATACACAAACCACAACTCAAGCCAAGAAATGTTGGAAAAGTAGAAACATATTTAGACACTCGTGTATATTTTCCCCACAACAGTCCCATGAGGTGGGTTGGGCTGAGAGAGAGTGACTGGCCCAAAGTCACCTAGTTGGCTTTCATGGCTATGGCGGAACTAGAACTCGCAGTCTCCTCCCTTAACCACTAAACCAAACTGACTTTCCATATATCTCTACATATACTATATTGTAATAGTGTAGTTTTTGTAGATACCATCAAGAATTGTTAGAAGTATTTCATTGGCAGCCCTTAATTTAAAAAGAAAATGCTGTTAAACTATTGACACTGTTGCCAGCTTGGCTGCCCTAGAAGAAGCCTGCCCATTTTCTATTGATGCTACTGTTACCAGTTGCCTTGTTCAGCATAGAAATTGCAATGATGGGCACTGAGAATTGCTATACTAGTATAGCTTGACCAGTGAGGTTCAGAAGGGAGTTAAAAATTTATGAGAAGCTGGGCATGACATAGATGCATATAGAAAAGCGATGGCGCATGCATCATGGCGCATACTGACCACTCTGTAGATTTTGACACTTGAAAACCCATATTCCATGGCTGAAGTAGGCAATCTGGGCTCTACAGATGCGGTTTTTTTGTTTAGTGGCCGCAATAAATATGACATTATTGAAAATTGTCCTCCAATATCTGTAGAGCATATCTGTATCTAACTAAACTATTGACAATAGGTAAAACAGGAGGAAGAGGAGGAAGAAGGAGGAGGAGGAGGAGGAAGGAGGAGGAAGAGGAGGAAGGAAAAGAAGATACTGAAGTGATGAATAGTTTTTGCAGATATGAAATATGCCACAGACTAGGATTTGGTAGAGCAGTCTTGAAAGGCTTAAAAATATATTCAAATGCCATGCTATACCTACAACGATCAGAGTCATGCAAGCCGTGGTATTCCCTGTGTCACCCTGTAAAAGCAAAAGTTAGGATTTAAACAAGTAACATAGGTAGAGTATTGCCACCCTTAAACTTTGATTTTGGAGATGATTCCTGAGAATGCTGTGGGCAGCCAAGAAAACAAATCAATGGGTTACTGAACAAATCATCTTAGAGTTCTCACTTGAGGCACAAACGACCAGGCTCAAATTCTCTATTTCAAACATCTTCTATGAAAACCCAGCTTTCTGGAAGAGGCTCTAATGCTGGGAAAGATGCAAGCAAAGAGAAGAACAGGGCAACCAGCAGCAAGGCATGATACAGGTCCCATCAGCCTAGATGTATCAGCTGGCAGGGACCAGGAGGTGTGCCTTTTCTGCTATAATATCTGTGATCTGGAAAGTTCTCCCTCCAGAAATAGAATGTATGAATATATGAATGTATGTATGTATGAATGAATACAGGTGGATGGACTCAGTTATAGAAATGAAGAGTACACTATTGAGAGATTTGAAAGAATAGGCTAGAGATAGTTCATCATGGAAAAGATGTGGTTGCTAGGAGTCAAAAACAACTTGATGGCATATAATCATACCTAAATAATTCAAGACTGACTATAAATTCTACATTTCTTGAATTCTAATCTCATCCCAGTGTTAGAAATGAGATTCTCCTAGTAATTCTAGAGTAATTATGTATACTTTTTTGCCTGCATTACAGTGGAACTAATACCAAGCATTTTTTCCCCAGATTTGCCGCAGACTAAATGGTGTTCGGTTTACAAGCTGTAAAAGTGCCAAGGATAGGACTGCCATGTCGGTGACCCTGGAGCAATGTCTCATACTGCAACATGAACATGGAATGGCCCCACAGGTCTTCACTCAAGCCCTGGAGTGCATGAGGAGGTAAGAAGACCTAGTTTGCTTGCGCTTACTTGTTTCTAATCCTGGAGCCCTGTAAACTGCAGATGAGTATTCAATACTATACGATTCAGCTTTTTCTTTACAAATATAACTGTCATTGCTGAGTACTCTGAGATCCAGATTTTGAAATAATTTAAATTGTCTCCTTGGAATGGAGATATAAAGAAATTGCTAAGCTGCTGTGAAAGCTTCATAACTAACATTGTCAAGGCTTCTGTTTTCCTTACAAGCGAAAATGCAGAAGTAACAACTGAATTAAGGAGAAACATCTGCAGGTTGCATTGGTTTCCTATGCTTACTCCTCAGACAATAGTTTGCCCCTTCAGTGAATTTCCATTATGAATGTTTCATGGTAGAGCAAACAACTCCATCACAACCTGCTGGCACACTGTGGTCATATCAGTTTAATCTGCTTTCTGAAGTAGCTGACATGTTCACAAATTTCAGTTTCAGTTTTAAATAAAAATCCAATACATTGTTTCAAGCACTGCTGAAAAGCTCCAGTTTTACCTATGAAGCAAGAAAGGATAAGAAATCCAGATTTAGTGTTTAATCGTAGTTTAACATGATTATAGAGTTCTGCTTTCAACATTCACTTTTGCTGAATGTAAATGTTCTGTGTGTCTTCTCACAAGTTCTCACAAACATTCAATTCTCTTATCCTTTCTATATGTTTTTGCTATTTGACCCTTTCTAAACCTTCAATGGTTTATTGCAATGTCATCTTACTTTAGTAAATATTTTCTAATTCCATAAATTCTATCTAGCAGCTACATAAATCCATAAAGTGCAATTGCCATTGTTTCACATTGAGCCAGCAAAATAAGAATATAGTATGTCTAATATAAGAGAAATTATTTTCAAATTAATTCTTATCATTTCATTAATTGTTCCTCTGATAACATTCACTACATTTTAACACAGTGATCTAATACGGATCACATCAAGGACCAGTTATATTCAACAAACATTTAGCTCATACCATCCTGAGAAAAAGTTATCATTTTGTTGTGCTTTGAGAATTTAGGAAATAAAACTTCATAGAATTGATGCGGACAGTGCTATACAGTAGACCTAATAGTAGGAAATCTATTTTTATTTGCTTGCTAATTTTGGCATTATTTTACAACAAAACAATTTTTTCTGGCAATACAGACATTTCATTGATAATACAAAAATTAAAATTGAAGCAAGGGAATATTCTGTTGATCTGAGTCTGAAAAAAGCTGTTTAGCAGTCAATATTTCTTCTGTAGGATTTTAATTTAATATCTTTTACTAAATTGTTATTTAAACAGATGCTAATTTTCTAAAACATTCATTGAAAACCTTAAAATAAATGTCTCATGTAATTCATCTTGCCTAAGATATTTCTCTACAGACCTAATTCTTCATTTTTTTCCTGCCTTTTAATACACATCTTTATTTCTGAAAACTTCAAATAACAAAGTGAATAAAGTCAGAATCAGGGATCAAAGAAGAGGATAGATTTACTTTTTTAAACTTTTAAGCTCTCTACCCATTCTTAAAGTATATTTTAGGCTGGAAAATAGGACATCTATCTGGTTTATTATAGTTCTTAAGCCATTGAGCTAAAGCCATACATTTTAAGAAACAACTTACCTTTCTACTTCAGGGGGAAGATGTTCTCTATATTAATAGTTGAATTAATTCAATATACCTGGCATTGAAGATTTCTTGAAAGGGTCAAATACCACAATGGTTATTCATGTTCAGTTTGCTTTTCAGAGTTCCCTTTCTTTGCAGCATGTGGAAAGCATGGCACAGCCGCATGGAACATCGCTTAGCCAAATGAGAAAAATGAACATGGAAAACCATTCTAGTTTGACATACATGTATTTATTTTCAGTAGACTACAGTATTCTTTCTTATTTTCTCTTTTTTATTCTCTTTCTCTCTCCTTTATTCTGTAATTGTGCCTTTTATTATTATTTTGAAAAATTGGCATATTTTCTTATTCTTTATCCTCACACATTCTACTTTATGTTCTGAATTCTTCAAAGTTTATTTTCTTCCCTCTTCCTGAACCCATTTTGTTCTCTTTTATTTTGTCATCTTGATTCTCTTTTTATCTTTTGATACATACATTGCATGTCTGTGGTTTTTTTTCTGTTTCTTTTCTCCCCAAATCTCTTCCTTTTCACAGTATTGGAACACGGGAGGTAGTCATCCAGAAGAACTTGTGTGGCCTGGTGCCCCTCCGGGATTTCAGGCTAGATCCCAGTCTTCTTTACTCTATTCCTTTATTAGCTCTAAGCCCCAATTTACTGATTGTGTGGCTGTTTCTGAGCATTGCATACTTGGTGGCTAAATTACGTTGCAAATGAAGTAAAACAAACCGAGCAAAAATCCAGTAAAGTGCCAGAATATATATTGCCATCTGGTACCAATTTGTCAAAAAACGTCTGATAGCATTGTTGCCAAGAATAATGATTAGTATGCCTTACAATTTTGTTTCTATTGTACTAAACTTGTAAAATACACATTTGATTCTTTTATGAAAAGGAATTGTATTGTTTACACTGTCATTGAGCTTCCAGTGCTTGTAATGTAAGTCCAACAACTGCCTGTTACCTCAGTAATTTGATCAATCTGAAGTTTAGTTTCTGTATCATCTATTTTAGGCATTCAAATCCACCTCCCCTCCATTTCTTTATAACTACATACAGCTTTGTTTCACATGTTTCTTGTTATTCAGAGAAAGAAACTATGTTTAAAAAAAATTTCTAATGTTTTTATATATCCTAAAAAAGTGTCAGTCTTACTTTTCATATTTAAGTGGTAAGGGGGAAAAGGGGGGGGCTTTGTAACATATTTATTTACATGTCTGTTTAAGGCATCTTTCTACTTTGATTTACAAGCATCACTTCTACAGTGTTACAGTCATAAATACTTAAAACCGTGGAGTTGGTTTTCTCATAAGTTAAAACTGTTGCAACAGTTTGCCCTTTAAAAATTAACTTGAAAGCATTATAATGCACACAATACAGAGTCAGTATATTTATACATTTACTTTCTTACTGCATCAAAAAAAGAAAGAATATATAGAAAGAGTAAGCTTAACAATCATCTAATTCCATTCAAATCATTAGGAAAGTATTTTTATAATCTCTGTGATACAATGCTGTCACATGTTAATTAATATTTACATTAAATATTACCATAAACTGCACTAATAGCTCTTTTAGGTTAATGTTAAATTTTAAATCTTAAGGTATATGAAAGATGCAAATGTATTTTACTGATATCCTGAATCCTAAACATTCAATTTATAATATAATTATATTAGTTTCTATCATTATATTTATTCACCTAAAGCAAAGATGTATATATTCCCATCCAGATAGTATTTATAACTAACATCAGTGTATGTTTTAGGGGCATTTAAATCAGGGCTCTTCAAACTTGGTCCTTTTATGACTTGTGGACTTCAACTCCCATAATTCCTCAGTCAGTGTGCCTGGCTGAGGAATTCTGGGAGTTGAAGTCCACAAGTCATAAAAGGGCCAAGTTTGAAGAGCCCTGATTTAGATATACAGGTAACTCTTGGGTATTAAAAAGCAGCTCCAAGACTTATAAATAAAATTCTTTAATATTTCATTGTGCTACATCCTGTTTATCAGATCTGTTGCATCACATCCAGATTATATTGCAAAGATAAGATGTAAATGTGTTCTTGATTGGATTGATTTGAATCTTGACAGAGTAGCACAGTAGCTGCTTTCCTGGTAGGTATATGATTCCGTTGCATTGAAAGGTAAAGGACTCTATTATACTGCATGATTGTTTCACTCGCCAGTAGCAAGGTAGATAATGAAAGTATGAGAAACTTCCTGTAGATGTCATGCAATAATGTTCAATTTGTAAATTGAACCACAATTTATTTTATTTTTTAAATTAAACCATAGTAGTTACATCTTGGTAACTACTACCAAGTCCTATGACAAATTTATTAGCAATATATTGATCATTTTATGCCAAATCTAAGCATGCTCTATGGCAGTGGCTCCCAACCTTTTCTATACCTCGCACCCCTAGAACACTTCCGGTATATTCTCTCACCCCTTATAAAAGTTTGAAATAACAGTAACGAATTATGCATATACACTATAATTTTGAAAACCCAAGTTTTCGCACCCCTGGAATATCATCTTGCCACCCCCAGGGGATGCTCGCACCCCCGGTTGGGAACCCCTTCTCTATGGTATGTTCACATCATACCACCATTTCCATACCACCATTTCCTTTGCTTATCCAACAAGATCACTTAGTCCAAACCTAGGCTTTGGCCACTGCATGCATCTGTGTGACCTCGCAAATGAAAATAAGTAGCCCTTAATCACATCTATTTTCCCAAGAGAATAGAGTTTAGTACATAAATGCAGTCTTGTGTTTGAGGAAGTAATGCTGGGTTGATAAATAGCCAGCTCATTGAGGACAACATCCAAGTAAGAATTTTCTATGTAGGGAATGTCGTTCTTACTGAGGTACACAAATTATTTTCAATAAATCGGACAATACATTTGGAGGGCTGGTTTGAAAAATTCAGCTGTCCTGCCTTATTTTGTGGCATTAAACATGCTAGAGGGCTTTAGAGTTAAAATTGTATATGACTATATGTATAGGGCTATGTATGTATGTGTAAGTGTATGTGTGTATATACACACATACATATACATATATATGCAGACATGCAAACACATCACAAGTTATTAAATCCAAAACTGCATGAATCTTTATTTCATGTATTTCCTCTCTTAAGTCTGGAGAATTTTGTTTAAACATGTCCAGTGGTAGAAATGATGCTGAAACCAAATATATAATTAGTTGTCACTACATACAATAACTACACCAAATAATCGACTATTTAACCCATACATTTAAAATATAAAGAAGCCAGTTAGACTTATCAATGTAAGAATATAAGTGTGATCCATAAAAGATAATGCAAATAAAATCTTTTATTTATATTTGTATAGTAAATATCAGCCGAACATACCCAGGAATTCAATACAATATTTTAAAGTCTTATTTGACTAGGATTTTCATTGTACTGATAACTTGACTAAATTATTATAAATTGACAACCCAGTGCATTTTGGAAACAAAACTGTTGTAGTTAATACTCAGAGCATGTTCAATGTTGCTATCCTTAGTTGTCAACTTACAAATAAATTATATCTGTCATGTTTGTATACTTTTGTCTTCTGCTTCTGCAGCTTTCATTTTCCTTTGTCAACTTCTGTTTAGAGAAACCAAAGAAGGAAACTTGGAAAGTATATTTTGAGAATTCAAATTCCTTATGTAATTATGTATATGTATGTATATCTGATAATAATGGCCTTTGCAATAGAGTTCATTCTTGCTGAATGAAAGTGTGCAATAGATTTCAGAGCCAAATTGAAAATGCTGCGATAAAACTCCTGCAGTAACATTTCTTCTCCTATGCCAATATCTTCCAGAAGTGATGTTATACTGCCAATATGTTCCCTGTGATTCAGATAATGAGCTGGCAGATTTGCCTACTCTATACCTATTTTTCCTGCCCCTCCCAAAAATGCATTGCTGCTTGTTTAGATTTGCAAGTGTAGCTATTAAGAGTCAATGTGCCACATTTTCTTTTATGTGCACCATCAATGGCCCATTACTTAATTACGGATTCAAATATTTTACTAAAATGAAATAGCTAACTCCTTTCATTTTAATTAAAATACTGGTAATTTTGTTTTTGTTTTACTGCTGTCATTTTTTTCCTTTTCTGTGCTTGTCTTTTTTCCCAGTGAGGGCTGTCGAAGAGAAAATACAATGAAGAATGTTGGATGTCGCAAATATGCATTTAATTCCTTGCAGCTGAAGGCTTTCCCCAAGTATTACAGGCCTCCTGAAGGAACTTACGGAAAAGTTGACTCATAAGATTATGGTGTCTTGTAATTAGTTGTTCCGTTAAAATATGTGAATACACTTAACTTTAGTATATGAACTTTGATGACAATGTCAGAAAAAAATGTTTTTGTATGTTTCACTAGGAAATATTGAACATGTACTTTTGTTAAATTGGATTCCATAGGAAAAAAAACAGTTACATGCTGAATAATTATAACATGAAACTAGAGTAATGATTGCCCAATGTAAGATGTCTGCATATATTAGTTAATTAATCTCTTGCCTAAATAAGAAAGATAATTCCTGGACTGTGGAGGATTTTATGAATTAGGCAGCTGTTTCCCTCATTTTTATACTGATTTTATTTAAAACTTTCATAATACTTTTTAAAACTTCAGTGTTGTAAATAGTAAATAAATTGGAAGTGAGGAGTTTGGACAAATACAACAGGTATTACAACTAGAAGAAAAGGCTCAGTTTTAAAAACGGAGCAGTGCATTAAAAGTCGTGAATTTAAATTTATTAGAACACTATTATATAAAAGAGTTATATAGAAGCCAGGAACTGACACATAACCCTATTTGACTTGGTTTAGAAACTGGATTGAAAGGTGATAATTTCAGTTAAGGAAGAAACCTATTGCATTCCAACACCTAAAACCCCTTTTAAAATACAAGGAAATGATAGTTGCGCATAAGAAAATACTGCTTGCATCTAGTAAAGTATGACTTAGCCCTAAACAATGAATCCAGGTAGAAGATAAGGTATCCATATCTATTTACAAAACAGAGAGTCAAGTGGATTTCTACTTGCAGTTTGAATAACTTCACTGGGCTGAACTGTCTTCCACATCATAATGATTTTAATCACTGTCACTTTACCCTACTTTGTGTGCCGGTCAGCTGATTCCACAGTGATATGCTGTGCAAACCAGCATGTACAGATCAGATCTTCTGAGTCCCTTTTTCTTAATGATAAGAATGATTTTAGGCAAACTTATTTCTATACAAAAACTGTCCTATGCATTTATGACTTCTGAGTTCCTAAGATGCTTGCTTGCTAGATCCTATCCAGAATATAGGTGCACTTTAATTTACAGAAATCAGTGTTCCTCATTTTTCTGTTGAAATTCCTACTTTGAATATTGTTTTATATAAAATGTTTCCAGTACCCACTACTAAATTTGAAACTCAGTATCTACAATTTGTTCCAGAACATCAGAGTTTGAATTCAGGTTAATGAATTGATGGAGAAGGGGAATAATTACATTATTTAACAGAATGATTGCTTGCTTAGGAAATGATCTGTAACAGAAGCCAAATTTCCATAAACATCCTTCTGGAATTGCCGAACTGTAACTTATTCCTTTGTTCATTATTCCTGTAACAAATTCATATTTTAAAAGCAAGATGAACTACCACTTGAAAAATGTAATATTACCAGTATATATACTGTAGTTGCTTTACTCATACTTACAGAAGAGTAGCATATTCATCAAATGACTATTAATATATAACAATTTTGATTAATAAGTCACTATATATGTTTTTATGGGTGTAAATGTTTATCACCTAAAAAGCTATGGTTCAGTAGTAGCATTTTGATGGATTTTGGAAGCTGTGGGCAGGTTGTGAAATCCTTGCAATTTTTCATTCTAACCCCAGCATGTTTAAATCCCACTGATACTTGAGGGATTTACTTACGTGAGCATTACTGGCCATTTAATGGAAAGGGGAAAATGGCTCAATTACTTTGGGGGTCTGGTATGCATTTGCCATTCAAATATTTTACTTTATTCTGCCTTTTTTTGCACTTTATATTTATTGAAGGTATGAATGTTCTTTTCAGACCCAAGAAATTTGTTTTAGCATTGCTTTTTAGTAGTTTAATAGTTTAATTGTTATATGTACTAAACAGTCTGGGACCTTCAGAGTGCAGTAAATTAACTGATCATGCTGTGTTTCTCAAACTTGGTAACTTGAAGATGTGTGGACTTAAATTCCCAGAATTCCCTAGGCAGCTGACCGGGGAATTCTGGCAGTTAAAATCCACTCATCTTCAAGTTACCAAATTAGGAAAACGCCACTTTCAATCCTTAAACCCAACAGGCAAAGGAATAGTCATATTTATTGCTGATAGAATTCCTGGTTGTAGCTAAGATTAAAAGGGCAAGGCAGTGAAATCAACAAGAGTTGAGATGTGCAAGTAAGCTTTCCTTGATCTAGAAAGTTAGCTGCAAAACAATTTAAAACAAAATACAAATCAGGCTGCCATGAAAAGTTGTTCCCCTCCAAACTATTCTTGGACAGGACCTTGCATAGAGAATATTCCCTTCCTGAGCTCTGCTGGCCCAGAACAATGCTGATTTCCAGTCTCAAGGTAGCTAAAGGCATCTCTCTGCAGCTGTGGACGTCTTTGGCATTCCTTCCTCTTCCTCCAGAGGCAGCAGCTGCACAAGGGGCAAGGATGGGGGGGGGCGCTGATGCCATCTCACTACTCTTCCTAGGGCCAGGAGGAATCTCCCTGGCCCTCTTCTCCCTCCTCCTCTTCTTCCCAGGATGATGCTTCAGCCAGGGATAGGATTCTGCTGAATTATATTTTATTATTATTTTTTCACTGCTTTTAGTGTTGTATAATATATTGAATGGCAGAATTCTGGAAAATTGGTTAAATTTATATTTTCAGGAAAACTTCAAATGTGACAGAGAAACTCATTTTGATATATGCTAGCTTGTTTAATGTTTCTTCTCTGTTCACTCTATCTCCACCCCACAATTGTTTTAATTTAAATTGTCTGACATTAAAACTTGTTGCCAGCAAAAGAAGATAAGATTAATTGCAATGATTGCTGCCAGCACAATGTATTATTCTCCTTCATTAGTCATCTCTTGAAAGCAATGAGGGTTTTTTCCCAATTTGTAAAGGGAAAAGGAAATTCTGTTTCGCTGTTATTTCCATTGGTGTGAACATAAAGCTCATATGCATTAGGAATCTATATGTTTTTCAGAAAAGAGAACTTTAAATTAGAACTGTCAGCACTGTGAGATGGTGAAGTTTTAATCCAAGTGGGATAAACGTTTAGGTCAGATATTTCGCTATTCCCATTCTAAGTTAGGTTAGATCTTTATTTTATATTCAGATTTATAGTACTGTACTGACTATTTATATACTATACTGAAAAGCTAACATTGTACTACCTTTTAAAGCAATTCCCCAATTCTTTGAATGAATAATTATTTCTCTTCCACCCTTTCTGAGAACAGGACTCCAGTTGCATGACATGAAATGCAAAATTCTGGTTTTATTTCTTTTGCATAGATTTCCCTAAAGGAGAATAAATATAGCTCAATAAAAACACAGGAACTGAAGAAAGCTTCTATCCATATAGAAAACATCAAATGAGCAGACTTTTCTAAAATATTCGTTTTGTTGCCATAGAAAATCCATTATTAGGGATTATTATTATATGAACCTCACGCTAACCTTTTTGAGTACAATTATTAAATGAAACTTTAAAAGGGTATATATACAGTTACTGCCAAGCTTATTCTGTACATGTTCTGCAAAAGCAGTCACAGCACAGCTGCATTTTAGTTTTTCATTTATATACAGTATGTATAGCTGTTGTAAAATAGAACACATAGTTTTGTCCCAGCATAGTTGTATTTGCTAAAACCTTCTGCATTGAACTTTTATTTTATTTATTTGTTTGAAGAAGTATTGGCATACCATAAACATATGGTTACTGTTTTGTATAATCTTAATTCATCAAGTCCATGTATGCTGTAAATGTGCTAGTCTTTAGGGATAAGAAAAAAATAAAGAACTGACAAGCATGCTGAGATGACTGTTTTTTTAAAAAAACAATATGGTCACAGGTATAATCCCTATATTTGTTTGTACTTTTTAAAGTTTTCATACCAATAAATTCTCATGGTAGCGCTGATATATTTTAGAAAAAAAAGTCAAATTTATTCTGGCATAAACATGTATAGTCTCTGAAAGATTATCTTTCTTTACATCTTGGAAGACGTTTCATTATTTCTTCCTAAAAATGTATTTATGTTTTGATATTTTCTAAAAAACGTATTGCCATGTAGTAGTACTTCTATGCCCTTATCAATAAGCAAGAAGAGCTGCAATTTTTTTTACAGTTTAGTTCAAATCACTGGATACTTTACAATGAAAATAAATTGATGAATTTGTTTGTGTTATTTATATAAACTGGTAGTTTCCAATAAAAAAATAAATCAAAATAAAATCAAACATTAATGAATCATGAATCCAGTAGTAGAAAATGAGACCAACAGAAAGCTAATGGCAATCTTCAAAAGATAAATATCACTAATATTCCAGTATTCAATTGCAGATACCGGTATTAGAAATAGACTTCAGGTGCAAGAATTAGACTCTGTAGAATCAAAGAACTGGTTCTAAGCCAGGGAGAGCCAATATGATATATGGTCAAGCTTGGACTAGGGCAAAACCAGATTCTCATCCATCCACAGCCATGGAAACTCACTGACATTGGGCTAATTATTATTTCTTAACCGAATCTACTTCCTAAGGTGGTTGTGACAATAGAGGAAAAAAGTTTACCATGTTAAGGGCTACTGACTTTCTAAAAAAATGACGAAAGAAGACAACTTAATAACAAGTTTTGAATGTGGTTTTTGAAAACACCCTCATTCCCATCTTATTCTGTCCCACCTAACCTCATGCGTAGTGATAAGTTGTGTTTGAGGGACTTTCAGCATGCTTTATAGTACCATTTATGGTACCGCTTGATGGCTTGCTATTCAAGGAGAGCCAAAGATAGGCAAAAATCACAACCACACATGTTTTTCCACTTACAATGTTTTATTATTTACTTATGTACAGCTATCAATAGTTTAGGGAACAAAGATTTAATTGTTTCTCGAGCTCACAATCTAATCTTCAGTATAGGGAACTTCAATATAAGGAAAACTATGACTATGAACAAAGAAATCATTAATCTCCATACTTTTATTAATTTGCTCACTTCCACGGATAGCATGATATATTCAACGAAGTAATTAGGAGAAAGTGCTTTTTTCCCTAGGGTTATCCAGATTTTAAAAGTTTTAAACTAAACCTTGCT